TAGGCCTTTTAGAAAACATGGAGTTGTTCCTTTGGCGACATATATGCGAATCTACAAGAAAGGTGATATTGTAGACATTAAGGGAATGGGTACTGTTCAAAAAGGAATGCCCCACAAATGTTACCATGGCAAAACTGGAAGAGTCTACAATGTTACCCAGCATGCTGTTGGCATTGTTGTGAACAAACAAGTTAAGGGCAAGATTCTTGCCAAGAGAATCAATGTGCGAATTGAGCATATTAAACATCCTAAGAGCAGAGATAGCTTCCTAAAACGTGTGAAGGAAAATGACCAGAAAAAGAAAGAAGCCAAAGAGAAAGGTACCTGGGTTCAACTAAAGCGCCAGCCGCTCCACCCAGAGAAGCACACTTTGTGAGAACCAATGGAAAGGAGCCTGAGCTACTGGAACCTATTCCCTATGAATTCATGGCATGATGGGTGTTAAAAATAAACTAATCTGTGGTCTATAAAAAAAAAAGACCACATTAGGTGGAGTTTGATGTCCTATTCATTCATTCATTAAATATCCATCAAGTGTCTTCTGTTTATCAGGTACTATCTTAGATGCTGAAGGTATAGCACCAGTGCTTTCTAATTGGTGATACCTATGCCTTACCAACTGTTAATTTTTTTTTTAAGAGAGGCTTTTGCTAAAGAGTGTGTATACTCACTGGAGAGACACAGAGAGACAGACAGAAAGCAAGAAATCACCCCCTGAGGGGATGGCCACACCATAGTCCCTTCTCCATTTTCCACTTGGGATCATGGGCATGCATGCACATGCACCCGGCTTGAGTTTTGAGCCACTGGGTCTGGGACTCGAACTGTTTCAATCACATGGGAGTCCAGCGATGCAACTGTCATGCCATCTGCTGGTCCCACTGTTAAGTATTTTTAATATTAGTCCTGTATTGGGGATTAAAAAAAGATATGGAACCTGCACTACCAGAAGTTGCAGTCTATGGGACCAGCAGTTGGCATAATGGCTATGTCGCTGGACTCCCATGTATTCGACTGTGGTTCAAGTCCCAGACCCAGTGGCTTAAACTCATGCCGGGCACGTGTGCATGCATGGTCAAGCTCCCGTGAGGAGAATGGAGGAGAAGGGATTGCAACATGGCCATCCTACTAGGGGGTGATTTCTCACTTTCTGTCTCTGCCTTTCTCTCTGTCTCTGTCTGTCTCTCTCTGTCTTTCTGGTGAATCCACACACCCTATAGCAAAAACGTCTCCAAAAAAAAGAAAGAAGTTACTGTCTAGTATTCTTTTGTGGTTTTGATGTTCTCATTATGACAAACATTGCTCCGATTTTTTTTTTCGTTTTACTTCATCTACTAGCCTGTAAGACTTTCAAAGATAGGAACCTTGCCCCAGCCTATAGCTTCCTGGTTAAAAGAGTCAGATCCCACATGGCTGACTGCAGTTCAAATTTCAACCCCAGCAGCTTGAAAAACAAGCCAGGCATGAGTGTATGCATGCCTAAATCCCAACAGGAGGGAGAAATGGAGGAGAGAGAATTGTGGCATGACTATACTCTGTCGGGGCATGCTTTTCCTGTCTCCCTCTCTCTCTGTCTCTCTTTGGTGAGCACACATGTCCAATGGTAATATGAAAAAAGATAGGAAACTTGTTCTAGTTATCTTTGTAATCTCAAGATCTAGTACTTATGGACACTAAATAAATGTTTGCTGAATGGTTGGGGGAGGGATGGACAGATGTATGAATGAATGGATAGAAATAAAGTTGATGGTACTTGGTAAGGCATTGAGAAAAGGAAGAAAGGCTTACTTCAAAATGTCTCCTGTTGGGCCAGCAGGAGGTTAAAGCAGATAGATCCCACATGGCCAACGTCGTGGTTCAAGTCTTGGACCCGACAACTTGAAATCATGTTAAGTACATGTGTATTCATGCCCAAAATCCCAAGAGTAGAGGAGAAGGGATTGTAGCATGGCCATCCCCACTGAAGGGGTGATTTCTTACTTTCTATCGATCTCAGTCTCTCTGTCTGCCTCTCTCTCCAGTGAGTGCATGCACTCTAGCAAAAAAACTAAAAAAAAAAAAATTATACTATTATGGACAATAGAGAAATAGAGAAGTTTCTATTAATACTAAGGAGTTGGAGAATAAAGGAATCTCATATGGAAACTTAACTTTCATATTTCTTTTTTTTTTTTTTTTTTAGTTTTTTGCCTTAGGGCATGTGCGCTTGCCAAAGAGATAGAGAGAGGAAAACGAGAAATCATCTCCCAGAGCGGTGGCCACACCACAATCCCTTCTCTTCCATTCTCCTCTCAGGATTTGGGTATGCACACACACATTCTGCTGGATCTGAGATTTGAATTGTGGATTTGGCCACAGGGGATCCAGCGCCTCAACCACTATGCCACCTGCTAGCTCTGCATTCATATTTTGGGATGATATAAATAATATAACATGAGATACATGATAGTAAGACATTTGTGCTGAGAGGAAGCTATTATTCCTATAGACAAGATCTCTGATTGATCCTCTAAAGTTGTACTTAACTTTTGCTTAGCCAGGTGAGAGCTGCCTTTTTTTTTTTTCTTGCAGGTCAACTACACCTCGACCAGTAGGCATCACTTCCCCATCACAGTCAGGTAGAGAACATTTTTTGCCTAAGTTATCTGTGAAATGACTAAATATCCTTTCCGTATGTAGAAGATAGTTCCCTCCCAGAGACCATAATGTGACTTTTCTAATGTGTATGATATAAAAAAATCATACAGCCTGATAGCCACTCACAACCTTGGCTAGGCAGGCAGGGTGCATCACTGGTGGCAACTTTTCATTCTGTACTTTATTCTTTTTCAGTTACTCCAAGACCCAGTTCCCAGCACAGCAGCCAGGTAGTCAGGTGAGTAGAAAGCCTATAGCAACATTGAAATTCTTGGCAGGGCCAGCCTTATAGCACAGCCATTAGGTGCTATGCATGGAAAGCCTGATCCCCTGGACTACTGAGACTCAAGTCCCAGCCCTGGCAGCTTAAACAACATGCCAGGTGTATGTTTGTGTGTACCTAAAGTCCTGACTGGATGGAAATATGGAGGAAAAAGGATTGCAAGATGGCCATGTCCTATTTAGAATGCTTTCCCTCTGTCTCTCTCACACTGGTAAGCACATGCACCCACCAGCAATTAAAAAAGAAAAAACCGGGACCAGCAGTTGGCCTAATAGCTACTCCCCTGTAGTTGACCATGGTTTGAGTCCCGGACCCAGTGGCTTAAACTCACGCCGGGCACGTGTGCATGCGTGCCCAAAATCCCGAGAGGAGAATGGAGGAGAAGGGATTGCAGCATGGCTATCCTCCCTGGGGGGTGATTTCTCGCTTTCTATCTCTCTGTCTCTCTCTGTCTGTCTGGTGAGCGCATGCGCCCTATAGCAAAAACCTCTTCCAAAAAAAAAAAAAACTATTGGGAAAAATTGGAAGATGAAAGAAATACTCCTATGTAGCTTAGATTCAGACTGAAGTGATTTTTAAAAAATAATTATTTTTTTAATTTGTTATTATTTTAAAAATATGACCAGAGAGAGGGAACCAGCAGTTAGCATAATGGCTATGTCGCTGACTCCCATGTAGTCGACCGCGGTTTGCGTCCTGGACCCGGTGGCTTAAAACTCATGCCGGGTGCGTGTGTGTGTGTGCCCAAGATCCCAAGAGGAGAATGGAGGAGAGGGGATTGCGGCGTGGCCATTCCCCCTGGGGGGTGATTTCTTGCTTTCTGTCTCTATGTCTCTTTCTTTCTGTCTGGCGAGTGCACGCGCCCTATAGCGAAAACCTAAGATGAAGAAAATACTCCTATGTAGCTTAGATTCAGACTGAAGTGATTTTTAAAAAATAATTATTTTTTTAATTTGTTATTATTTTAAAAATATGACCAGAGAGAGGGAACCAGCAGTTAGCATAATGGCTATGTCGCTGACTCCCATGTAGTCGACCGCGGTTTGCGTCCTGGACCCGGTGGCTTAAAACTCATGCCGGGTGCGTGTGTGTGTGTGCCCAAGATCCCAAGAGGAGAATGGAGGAGAGGGGATTGCGGCGTGGCCATTCCCCCTGGGGGGTGATTTCTTGCTTTCTGTCTCTATGTCTCTTTCTTTCTGTCTGGCGAGTGCACGCGCCCTATAGCGAAAACCTCTCCAAAAAAAAAATATATATATATGTGTATATATATATATGACCAGAGAGAGATAGAGAAAGAGAGAAAAGGGAAGTAAGAAAGTAAGCTGTCAGGTCTAGGACTTGAACTATGGTCAGCCATGTGGGAGTCCACTATCCCAACCACTGTGCCACCTGCTGGCCCCCAGACTGAAGTGACTTTTAAGTATTAGATCACCAGAAAAGTCATGACGTATTTTTCTACGCAAAATGCGTCATGACTTTTCCATCGACCCAAAAAAAGTTTAATACAAGGTTTTGTTCTGTGTGTCTTTTTATCTCACCTGTACAGTCGATCTTCCTCAGTGGAATCTATCCCTTATAGAGTGGTTGGCTTTGGTAGCTTGGGACAAGTAAGTAATACCTTCTTCTTCCAGATTGAGTTTTCTAATGCTATTCAGTTGTCAGGAAAGTCATGACATATTTTTGTATAGAATAACAGAAAATATGTCATGACTTTCCCAATCACATAATAAATGAAAGCAGTGTTTTAAGTTAAGAATCCTACATTTATATTGGTTTTGGCATATAAATTATCCGATGTGTTGCTAGATCCTATTTTCTTTTGTCAATAAAGGCCTGGTACTAGAAGTGGACAGAATAAACAGGGTGGAAATAGTGGGAATGTACAAGGACTACAGTGATAGCATCTATTAAGTTCATTTAGAAGTAATAAAGAATGGGTCCTTCTTAGACTAGTGTGCCTGCTCTGGGAGAGTGTACAGATGAGAGAGAGCAGAGAACAGGGAAGCCAGACAACTGGTATATGTTTATTAATGGATGTTTATCATTATTTGTCCATTAGGGAGGCAGAGGCCTGCAAGAAAGGAGCACCCCTAGAGACTCTTATACTGGTGAGAGGCTATAAAAAGGTATCAGAAGTCAACATATTCTGTACAGAGATGAGCAAAGTTCTGGTTTTCTATGCACTTACATTATTAATGCCATTTCACTTTGTTTTCCAGAGAATGATTCCAGGTACCCAAACATATTATAAATTTACAAATAATTATATGTTTGTTCTCAAAATGATAAGGAGAAGATAAAAATTTGAGTGGCAGAGCCAGCTGTGTGGTCTGGTAGAGTTAAGGCAGCTAGATCTCACATGGATGACCATGTGGTTTGAGTCCTGGACCAGGACTTCAGAAACACACTAGACATGTGTGCGTATGTGCCCCAAATCCAGAAATAAGAGAGAGATGGAAAACAGATTGTGGCGTGACCATTCCCCATGGGGGTTGCTTTGTCCTTTCACGCTCTCTCTCTCTCTCTCTCTGTCTCTGGTGATGACTCCATCCTGTAACAATTAAAAAAAAGTGATAGAAAGTCACTAAAAATCTCTGGTCAGATGGAAGATAACTTTTGAGTAAGATAATTGATTTGAATTTTTAAAATTGCCACAAGATGGCAGTACAAGTCAGGTATAAACTGAAGATTAACACATTGTGGAATGTTAGCGTGAAAGGTGTCCAGTTTTTTCACTGCGTAGTAAACATAAAGATATTACAACTGCTGGGACCAGGAGTTAGCGTAATGGCTGTCGCTGGACTCTCATGTAGTTGACTGCGGTTCGCGTCCCGGACCTGGTGACTTGAAACTCACGCTGGGTGTGTTTGCTTGTGTGCCCAAGGTCTCAAGAGGAGAATGGAGGAGAAGGGATTATGGTGAGAGGCCATCCCCCCTGGGGGGTGATTTCTCACTTTCTGTCTCTCTGTCTCTCTCTGTCTGTCTGGTGAGAGCACATGCCCTATAGCAAAAACCTCTCCAAAAAAAAAAAAGGTATTACAGCTGCTTGGCAGACTGGGGCCACATGGGTGACCTGGGTTTGATTCCTAGCCCACCCCAAAAAGCCAGGTGCAGTGGTTCATGCCTGTGAGCTCAGGTACTTGATAAACTGAGGCAAGAGGATTATAATATAGTGAGATCCTGTCTATAAATAACACACACACACACACACACACACAAACATACACACTGCAGTGAAGAAAGGTTTTGGTTTTGTTCGCTTAATTTCTTGTCTAGGGCCCAGGAGGTGCCGTGGTGGTTAAGGGCGCTAGATTCCCATGTGGCCGACCATGGTTCGAATCCTGTACCTGGTGGCTTGCTTTCTCCCTTTTTCTCTCTATCTCTCTCTATGGTCAAATTAAAAAATAATAATACAGGTCCAGCAGTTGGCTTAATGGCTATGTCGCTGGACTCCCATGTAGTCAACTACAGATTGAGTCCTAGACTTGGTGGCTTAAACTCATGCTGGGCGCATGTGCGTGCGTGCCCAAGATCCCAAGAGGAGAATGGAGGAGAAGGGATTGCGGCATGGCCATCTCCCCTGAGGGGTGATTTCTCGCTTTCTGTCTCTCTGTCTTTCTCTGACTTTCTGGCAAGTGCATACTCCCTATAGCAAAAACCTCTCCAAAAATAAAAAATAAAATAGAAATAATAAATAGAAATAAGCAACTTAAAAATTTTTTTTCTTATCTATAACTCTTTAGAACTATTATTGCCATTACTATTTTCAAGGGCATTAGCCCATCCCTAGAAAATATGTGTCATGGGGGATTTTTTCTTACCAAGAAAAATGTGAAATTCCCAAATCTCTTTCATATTTTAAATTCACCAAATTCTTTCTAAATTTCCTTTGGAAAGTGTAGATGTTTGTGGCCAGCAGGTGACATAGTGATCAAGGTGCGGGACTCCCACGTGACTGACCACAGTTTGAGTCTCAGACCTGGCAGTTTGAAAATCCCCCTGGGCGGGGCCAGCAGTTAGCGTAATGGCTATGTCACTGGACTCCCACATAGTCAACTGTGGTTCGCGTCCTGGACCCGGTGCCTTAAAACTCACACTGGGTGCATGTGCGTGCATGCCCAAGATCTCGAGAGGAGAAAGGAGGAGAAAGGATTGCAGTGTGGCCATCCCCCATGGGGGGTGATTTCTTGCTTTCTGTCTCTCTGTCTCTGTCTCTTTGGCGAGTGCACGTGCCCTATAGCAAACCTTCCCGCCCCAAAAAAAGAAAAGAAAAGAAAATCACCCTGGACGTGTTGTGTGTGTGAGTGCCCAAAATTCTAGGAGGAGATTGGAGGAAAAGAGATTGCAGGATGGTCAACCCCCCTGGGTAGGCATGATTTCTCACTTTCCTTCTTACACTCTCTCTCTCTTGCTAGCTTTCATACCTTATGGCAAAAACCTTTAAAAAAAAAAAAAAAGGAAAAAAACTGTAGATGTTCTAATTTATTTTTTCATGTTGGAATGTTCCCTCATTCCTGGTTTTAGTAATTTGAGTGTTTTCTCTTTTTCCTTGGTTAGTAATTTCAAAGAACCATGTGGGGTTTTTTGTTTGTTTTTGTTTTCTATTCTCTAATTTATTTCAAGTTAATCTTATTTCATTCTTTCTGGTTATTTTGGATTTAGTTTCTTCTTTTTCTAGTTTATTAAGGTGAAAGTTACATTACTGGTTTGAGGTCTTCCTTTTTGATCATACATGTTTACAGTCATAGGGTCTGGTTCTATAACCCAGTGGTTAAGGGAGCTGGATCCCACATGACTGACCACACTTGAATCCTGGCTCCAGAGGCCTGAAAAACATACCAACATATGTGCATGCATGTCTCAAATTCCAACAGGACGAAGTAGAGGGATTGTGGTTTGACCACACTCTGGTTGGGGGTGTTTTCTCCTTCCCTCTCATCCATCTCTCTCTCTGGTGAGCATACATGCCCACTGGCGATTTTTTTTTCTTTCACTTTTGCTATAGGGTGCATGTGCTCGCCTGAGCAGAGGTGCTCACCTGAAAGCAAAAGTGGGAGAGAAAGATAGAGAAGAAAGTGAGAAATTAACCCCCTAGGGGGACGTTAAAACCTCAGTCCCTTCTCTTACACTTTCCTCTTGGGATTTTGGGCATGCTTGCACATGTGCTTGGTGATTTTTTTTTTTAAGCTGTAGGTTCCAAACTCAGCTATGCAGTTAGCCAGGTGAGATCCAGCCAACTTAACCACCTTGACACTTGGCTAGCCTGCCTTTGGCAATGTTTGAGGGAAAAAAAAAAAAAGGATGTTTACTGTTATAAATTTTACTTTAGTCCTTTACAGTACTTTCACTATATCCTATAAAGTTTGTTATGCTGTGGTTTCTGGTTTTTTTTTTTTTTTTCCCTTACTTATAGAAAGAACATATGCATGGAATGGGAAGAGAGAGGGATATTTTTGAAAGACTCTTACCACATCGCAGTCCATCCTGCCCCAGCCTCTCAGTTAGCTAGGACTATCGAAACACACAACCACACCCAGCCTGTTCAAACTGGGCTGGGAATCAAACCTGGGCTTCCCATGTGCTCTCACCTATAGCACAGCGGTACCTTCTCATGACACCATGGCTAGGCCTGCTCTTGTGTTTTTATGTTCATTCATCTCTAAGTGTTTTTTTTTTAAAGATTTTTTCCTAAGGATATGTAATTCTTTTTTTAAGATTTATTTAATTTTATTGTTTAATTTGACCAGAAAGAGACAAAGAGAAAGGGAAAGTGAGAAACAAGCTGCCAGGTTCAAGACTCGAACCACTGTTGGCCATGTGGGAGTCCAGCACCTTAACCACCACACCACCTGCCAGCCCCTAAAATAATACCTTTCACACCCACAATATTTTTAAATGTTCCAAATTTCCTCCTATTACTGATTTTAAATTCTATGTCATTATGATAGAATACACATCGACTTAAATCAGTGATTTAAATCCTTTTAACTTATGGCCTACCAGATGGTCTGTCTTAGTGAATGTTCCATGTGCACTTAGGAAGAAACTATATTTTCCCATTGTTGGAGTATTACATAGACTCTGTTATGTTTAGTTGGCATATATTGTAGTATTGTTCAAATAGTATGCTTCTGTTTCCTTGCTGATCTTCTCTTTAGTTGTTCTGTCCATGATTGAAAGTGGGGTATTGAAGTCTCTAACTATTCAATATTATTATTGGATTATTTAATTTCTTCTTCAATTCTATCAGTTTTCTTCAAGTATTTTCAGACCCTCATTAGATGCAAATACAAATACTTTATCTTTTAAAAAATTATTTATTTGTTGTGATTTTCAAGGTGCTAGGTCCAGGACTTGAACTGCAGTTGACTATGTGGAAATACAACACCTTAATCACCATCTGCTTACCCAAATACTATATCTTCTTGATGGGCTTACCTTTTTATCATTATATAATGCTTTTCTTTATCTCTAATAACAGTTTCATCTTAAAGTCTATTTTTCCTGATATTAATATAGCAACTTCAGATCTCTTTTATTCAGTTCGCATGGAATGTCTTTTTCTTTATTAATTCACCAGAGGGCATGTGTGCTCACCAGAGAAAGGGAGAGGAGAAAGCACTCACCAATGGGGCATGGTCACACCACTATCCCTTCTCCTCTATTTCTCCATCCTGTTGGGATTTGGGACATATACATTCATGTGCCCAGCATGTTTTTCAAACTTTTAGGGCTGGGTCTTGAACCACATGTTTGGCCATGTGGGATTTGGCTCCCTTAACCACTAGGCCATGGGTTGTAATCTCTTATTTTCTAAGAGATTACAATTCACACCTTAATTTATAATAAACTAGTTCAGATTACTACCAAACTAAGTTTCAGAAGTGTACTAAAGCTTTGTTCCTATGTAGTTTGGTTTTCCCGTCACATTGTAATGTTAGTATACAAATAATTTCTTTGTAAACTGTGTGCTTATCAACATAAATCTATAATTTTTTAAGAAGTATTTTATTTAACTTTATGTATTTATTTTTTATTTCACCAGAGAGGTTCAGAGTGAGCGAGAGAAGATAATTGAGAAAGCAAGCTGCCTGGTCTGGGACTTGAA